CAAAGGGTGGAACTCTCATATGGAATCCGCCCTTAAACGTGTGCGTATCCCTCTTTTATTTATTTCGCGGGAAAAGACATTTGCCCGCAATAATCCTAAATGACGAGAAAACGAAGAATAACGAGATGAAACTGCAAACTGCCCTCATATGAAAATATAATGAAATTCGTACATTTATAGTCGCTCGAATCATAAGTGTACAAATTCATGAATATTTATCGCGCAAGTCTTTCTCGAGAATGCAAAGCGCGTGTGATCCTTACGGAAAGCCTGAAAGAGAACCGCGTGGTGTGTCCTGCTCGTCGTGATGCAAGGATCGAAGGAAAGTTGCAGGCGATGTCTTTCCCATAAATGTAACTGATAAGTAAACCGAAGTATGCCGATCTAGTCGAAATGATCGTCCTATAGCGAATCGAGCAGTCATTTTAATTGCTCGTCCATCATTAATTAATACTCCGATCGATGACGATTGCGTTCGTGATAAAACGATCGAGAAACCATCGTACCTTGGTTTCATCGTCGGATTTTGAGAGAATTCTGACTTTGTGCAACAAAATATTAAATTAAGAAATCCTAAGATTAGAGAGAGCGAATCAAATAGTTTCATTGAAAGATTTAGAAAACTTTATTGATAATAACTGATAACAAAGAAAAAGACCCCCCTCCCAACATTTTATACGATATTATTATTTGCCTTCAATATGGATATTTTGTAATGTGTCTCACACATTTATATTAATATTTAATAACATTAATATTAAATATTATTATTAGTATTATATTTTCTTAACGTTCAACGCGGTGCTAAAACCAACTCGATAGCGGTAATAAACTCCAATTAAGCTAATTAATGTCGGGAGTACAATTGAAATGAATGTTCCGACTAGACCGGAGCCTCAAGTGCATTTACGACTTATTATATATATTATACAAAGGTATATAAATATATAAAAATATGTCGAGACGAACTTCGTTATAGGAGTGGTTATGTCAAGCGAGAGAAGGAGCGGTCTTTTTGCTATTGTTTCTTGTTTGCTGTAGCGTAAAGTAAGGATTCTAGTAGAAACGGTGGATCGAAATCGGTATAATTTCGATGAGTCCAAATTCCGATGCGAATATTCATACACAAAATGTTCCGTGGTCGTGACATGGCGAAAAAGAAATTTACGCCTCATGAAATGAGAAAGAAGCAAAGCAGAGAAAGCTGAGAAATGCAGAATACAATTTTTTCACGCAAAGTTTTATCTTCGAGAAAGTCGACAATGTCTTTCTGCTTTTCAAACTTGGAAGACTTTTAACGTTGTTAAACTCGTCTCGACAACGGTTATTAGATTCAAATACGAAATAAATTTCACGATAATTGGGCTCACGATTGCTCACTTTGTATTTACGTTGCAATACATTAAGTGGATTGTCGTCATTGTCGCGATTTTATGATGTGTCACGTTGCGCGATGGTGAAGCCCATCAGCCTTTTCGTGACTACGATATCGGAAATGAAATTCACCGAAATTATAACGCTTTCAAACCCTGTCTATAACAATGGCGGATTATCGTTTCAGCTTCGTGCTACGTAGTTGTAGCAAATACATACACAGATTGTACCGTATTATTGTAAACAATTAGGGGACACGATAGGGAAGTACTGTGCGAACGAAAGCGTTTTTGTCCGCACGGCGAACCGCGATCAGAGGAACAAAAATTGCTGATTGCGACTCCACGAGAGTCGGGAGATGGCAACGTTTTTGTTCCTATTAGTAGATAATGGACATTTATTAAAGCGAGCCGTTTGTCTTATTTGTCGATTAGGAGATATATGTCAATTCCCTTATTGATATCGGGATATAAATCAGACGAAACTTTATTTTTTAATTTAATTTTATTTGATTTATGTTTAATATATATCAAGCATTTTCTAATGGAATTATGTAATTTTGCCAAATTTTTGTGTAATCAAAACAATTTTTATCAAGGGAGCATCAATTCTTATTTAATTTCTGCTTAATCATTTATTCGGTTAACGATATCATTATTTTATGTATATTTTAACATTTAACTTTTTCATCTAATTCTTTTCTCTTCTATATAGGTTTCTCTGACGAATTAACAATTCTGTTAAAAAGACAAAACGTGCAAACTTTTACTTAGTTATCTCATCTAATTTACTTAATTTACCAAGTTAATAATTTGGGACTTAGTACCACGTGACACTTCGGATAAACGGTTATTTATCAAATTGCGAAAAGTCTATTCTCCGTATCGTGAGTTTTGAGGAAGAGCGAGCGGTTGCGCTCGCTTCTAACTGCCACTAAAAGCGAGCCACTAAAAACGTCTCTGATCGCAAGGTTCGTGTGTCAAAGGCAAAGGAACCAACCCCATCTTTTTGTACCTTGTGTCTTAGATGGAGCCTCGTATTAGTTTGAATCGGGGCTCGCGAATGGAGTTTTGCAAAACTTGTCATAACATGTGTGTCGCGACTACGATATTCAAACTGTAGAGCTTCAACGAACGAGCGAATAAAATTTTATGTTCACCAAACAGAACGCACCCTTTCGCCCGCCTCCTTTTTTTCTTTTGGAATATGCCGAGAAATTTTCAAAGTCCGAATTTTCATCGAGATATACATCCAATTTTCGAAGATTTTATTTTAAGTGTATATTTTTTGCTTAATAGACGAAGAAATATATGAATCCTTTTTGGGGATAAAATTTAATATATATATATATATATTTGTTAATTATATATATATATTTTTTTTATCCAAATTTCAAATTTTCTACTTGTGTGACTATTCTGGTTTTAAGATGTCTATTTTTGAACAGTTTATCTCTAAATTTCGCTACTCTATTACATTACTCGTCTACTTTCAGATAGTATATATTCGGTCAATTTATTTCCGAGCAACATATTTTTAAGCGATCGATTTCCCGGGGCAGTAAAATCGGATCAAGTCTTGCGTATTAAAAGTAATCGGATTTTTGTCCGGGATAGATAGGACAGGAGCAGAGAGAGGGAGAGGGAGAGGGAGAGGGGGGGAGAGAGAGAGAGAGAGAGAGAGAAATAGCTGATAATTTATTATATAGTTTATTGTAATGTCAATTATATACAAATTTAAAATTACGTCCAGTGCTTCCGACTACGCTGACATACCGTTTCTTTCATCGACGTGCAATATTATTACAATCGGGGCTATATCCGAGCCCTTCGGTGCCGTTTGTTCATTAACAGCATCAGCGACAGACCTAAGTTCAAGTATCCTTTATTTACATTTTCTTAACTCGCAACTTGTTCAGTTTGCAACTTCAGCAGTCTGTCGCCTTCTGAATCGTCAAAGAGCCTTCGTTTTAACCCCTTAAAAATAGGACAATCTTAAATTTAATCTTTCTTTCTTTCTTATAAATAATTTTTCAGTCTTAAAAATACTGCGATACGGACGTAATTATTATAACAGTTGTGCTTAAAGAAACACCACTCAATATAAGTCCTGCTACGTTTAAATTATTTCTAAATTCGTACCTTACACAATTCAATATAAATCAGTCGCGTTAAAATCTGAATGTGGCAGAAACAGTTTTCGAAAAAATTGCGTCTTACAATTCAATATTTATGCGAGTACCCGCCTCGCATCGTTTCTGGAAGCTTGCAAGGTTTTAAGTTTAAGGTAAAAAAGATTAATTAAATTTGCAGTTGTCCCATTCTTTTGAAACATCATGGGTTAAAAACGCATTTTCTTTTCCTTTCGCGTTGTCGCGGCTTTTCGTTCTCCACGATTTTCCACTTAACGATTCGCAGTTTTCCTCCTTGATTCGCGATCGTTTGGCAGTATGCTGTTTAGTGCGTCGAATCATTCGACTCTCGCTTTATCCTTAATTATAAAAGAATTTTTGTTCGGTCGGTACACGGTCGGTCGCTTAACCCTTTCATTCGCGGTAAATCATCGGAACACTTTATTCCTTTGCAAAAATTTGCATCGTAACTTTTTATTTTATAATCTAATTCTTAGTGAAACTATTGAAATTTTTATCGTTCTGCAAAAATTTGACGTAACTGCGTGCTTTATATTTTAGCCCGGAACAAAATTACAGTAACATTGTTCTGCAATAATTTGTCAAAATTCTTTTATCGTATGTTGTTTATTTTCGACCAAATTATTAAAATTGTGTTCCGCAGAAACTTTTCATGATGAAGTAGTATCGTTGAAAATGAATGTACATATTGTGAAAATGACATGAAAATGACATATAATCGCAGGAAAAGAAAGGGTTAATTGGGACTATAATTGAGCATTTGATCGATCGACGTCATAGAAATGAATCGTCGTGGCAGCGATTCAAGTTGACATCATCATCACCATCATCATCTTCCTCATTACCATCACCACCAACATCTCTACCACCGCCACCACTGCCATCATCATCATCATCATCATCATCATCATCATGATCATTATCATTATCAGAAGCATCATCATCATCATTATAATCATCATCACTATCATCATTATTATTTTAATCATTATAACCATCATAATCATCGTCATTGTCATTATCATCGTCATCACCATCATCATCGTCATTATCATCATCATCATCATCATCATTATCATCATTACACGGAAGAACGAGGACAATATCGGCACGATTCAACTCGAACCTTCAGTCTATATGTCGTTTAAAAATAACGAAAGAAGATAAATGAAAGAAAAATGCATTAGAAATTTTATTAATTTTCCTTGGATAATTTTAGGACATTTTTTCAATCATCATTTAATACAAAATAATCAATTGGAGTCGAAACAATCTTTTTGGAAGACAAAATATAGGAGGTACCATTGGAGAAAAAATAAGATATTGGATATTTTTGCAACGTATAAGAGAAGAAAAATTTGTTTTTGACAATAAGTAGAAAGAATTTTTAAATAAAAGAATAAGTATAACACTTTTCGAGTAGTATATAATAAATAAAATGAAACGAAATAAGGTGATAAAGAACTAGGATCACTTAAAAGAAAGATAATTTAAGAACTGATCAAGTAGTTTCCGCGCGCGCACGTGACGTATTAATGGAAAATCAATGTATGTCAAGTTCGCGCATAATTCACTTCGCGGTGAATTTACGGAATCACTCTTTGGAAGTTCGCTCCAAAGCTCACTTTATTTCCGTAGATGAAGAGTCCTACTTATGCAGATTCGCCTATCCGTCCGAAGACTATGTAATTTTTTTTCGGCAGTTGGTCGCAAATTCGAAAGGTAGAAAACGATAACAGTATGGCGTTGTCACACTAACACAGGGGCGTAGCGAAAGGATGTAAGGCTTCTGGGCCCATGGCCGATCGTATATCAACTTTCTTTCTTCCCTTCTACCGCTTCCTCCACGCAAGAATCGATAGCGGAAGTCACCGTCTGGGCCCAAAATCCCAGCTACGTCCCTGCACTAATTCGTAATATTTCTCGCGTAACAATAAAGATCCTCTATTCATCGTCTTTCCCTCATCATTCCCTATCAGTGTCCCATACATTCGCACAGTCTCGAGAACCTTGAAGAATCGCCCTTCCCCTTTCCTCTCATCCATCGTCAAGTTTCACGGAGAACACCAATTCCCGAAGCAGTTCTTCATTTTACTGCTTTAGCTCTCGTTTTCCGTAATCCGGAGCTACTCGCGGCCACGTTATTGCCGCCACGAACCTCTCGGTGGCAGACCTCCTTAGTTTCCACATGTGCTGCGGAGAGGAGACCTCTGCTATTCCTCTCACTCGAGGTACCGATTTGAGGTCGCTCACAGCCAGGCTGTCGACGGAAAAACACCACTCGGAAGTGATTTCGCGGTGACGTCCGGCGATTCCGCGGTCTCTCCGGGTCTGTCGCGGCCGTGTTACTTGGCAGGCCGCGGTGTCTCCTAGAGTCAGACCCTCAGCTCCTCCATCACCTGCGGGTGGTTGTGTCCCTTCTTCAGAGTCCCGGTGCCGCTCATGGCCAGGCTCTCCTGCTGAAGCTGATTCGGGCTGATGATGAGGTTCTGGCCGGGCTTGCCGGGCTTCGTGTTCTTCGGCGGCGGGGGCGGCATAGGCACGTGACAGGTATTATTCTGGAGGTCGGCGAACTCTGGCGGCGGTATGTGTTGTATGTGATGGCGCTCGGCTGTCTTGGTCTCCAGCTCGCCGCAGATGTTGTTCGGCATCTGGCCGTTCTCCTGGCGCTTCTTCGAGCAGTTCTGGTGCTGATGGTTGCTGCGGTCGCGCTGGTAGTATACCCCGGCGAAGATCAGCACGTTCAGCACCAGCAGGCTGCAGCCGATTGCGATCGTCACGCTCAAGGCCGTGGAGTACGCGGCGAAGCCGTCCTCCGGCTGTACCGTGGTGTCTTCGAAGGCCAGCTCACTGGGGATGGCTGTCGACACGTTGAACGACGTTCTCTCCATGGAGGTGACCTCCAAGGTAGTCGTTCTCGCGGTCGT